TTGAGAGTCGAGAACGTAAGAGAGATTTGCGGGCGCGCTTGCGGGTTTTATAGCTGCGACAAGGGAGACAGAAGGGGGAGAAAGCGACGGGGAAGCTGACGTGTAAGAGAAGAAGTAGGAGGAGAAGACTTTGAGAAGAGTACTTTATGAACGCCATGTTAATCCCTCGGAACTCAAGGTTCAACCAATCAGATTCGTTGCGCAATAGGAAGAACCTATTGATCCACGCACCTGATTGGCGAACGGGAGTTATCGACGGATCGACCGGGCGTCGTGTGTTGGACTCAGAGGGTGAGAAGAGAAAAGGCGCGAGAAGTAGCGCAAGACGGGTCCAAGATTCAAATGATCAAGAAAGGGAAATGGACGCGCAAAGAGCAGAGCGGGAGAAGAGAGAGAGAAAAAAAATAGTTACGGGGAGAGAGAAAGAGGAGGGAGAAGGGGAAGGGAGCGAGGGAGGGAGCGATGCGGGAGGGCAGAGGGGAAAGAGCTTGTGCATGCGCGGCGCCGTCAACAAAAAGAGAGAAAAAGGCACCGAAACAGTTACAACTTGCTTCTATCCTAATTCAAAATTGAAATCACCATATTCACGCGGGAAAGAGCGACGCGGGAAAAAAAAATCCTACGCCTATTCGTATTCGCACAAAATTATGAGAGTTTTTCCACGACGCCACCAAGAACATTCACACACACGAAAAGGACACGTCGACGTTCCACTTATCCCGAAATTCCCAACTGCCCAGCCCAATTCCCAGTGCGCTCGCTAAGGCGCACGTAATTTCTTATGTATTTCCCGAATTGCAGAAAGGAAAAGAGGAACCCGGGAGTCGGAAAAACTTCCGAAAAATGGGAGCCAAAAACACGATACCCAAAATCAAAAGAAACGAAACGGGGTTTTTATGGGGTTTGTATGATACAAGCAAAAAGGGGTACGAAGGATAGCACGGGTTCAGGAAGTGGTTCGTCACATATGTGACGCGTAGGGGATTCCAAAATTATGCGATTTCCTGTTTGCATGTCATGGCGGAGAAGGGGAGAGAGAGGGAGAGAACAGAGTGATGCATGAGGAACCAAGCGTATCAACAAATGATCCGGCCASAGTCCATGTTGACGCCAACTTCAATTGCAATCTTCCGTTGGTTCGTACTGCTAGATTACTCGATGGTCATCCAGGTGACGCCATCATCGTCCGCCAGTTCTTCGCATGCTCTGCACCCCAGTTTATCGCTGCTCGTCGAATCAGAACGTGAGTTGACGTCATCGTCGATGGCGGGATCTTCGCGAAGCTTACTGATTCGTGCCTTTTTCCCCTGCCGATTGGATGAAGAGGGGAGAGGGGGGGCAAAAAGTGATAGTCACGGGATCTACCTCCTAGTTGGAATTGGCCAATAGAGGAGGTAGATGGAGGGGATTTCCCGGGGACGACGAGGAGGAAGTGGGGGTAGGAAGCGATTCATCCCTTCCATTGTCACCGGAAGCTCCTCATATCGGATGATCTGGTGGAAGTTGGGGAAGTGATCGCGGCTGCGAGGGAGGGAAGCGAGGTAGTCACGATAGAAGGAGGAGAGGGTGCGGAAAAACGCCGCTTGAAAGAACTCGTAGTGGCGATAGGCGGGGATTGTCCCCGTGGCTACGCAGTAGACTTCTACCACGTTGCATCGTTCCCAGGCAGCGCTGATCAGCAGGATATGCCAGCAGAACGTGCGGGCGGCGGGTTGAAGGGATGCCGCGGATGAGTGGGGGAAGACGGTAGCGAGTAGGCGGGTAGAGTAGAAGTCGCGAAAGAGATGGGGGAGGAAGGGATGGGGAGGGAAGGTGACAGGTCGCGGATCTGTTCGAGGGKGAGAAAATCAAGAGGTCGGCGGGATAGCATCCGAGGACGAAGGCCTATCGCCCGCATCTGTACGTGGGCGAACTGAGGGACGGGTGGGGCTGGGGGAGGAGGGGGATCGACTCCGTCTCCGTCGCGCAGTACTTGAGGTGGCGGCTGCAGGGTCGCCATCTTCGGGCTTTGGCGGCTCTGGATCCCTGGTCGGATCGTTACCGATGCGCAGGCTAGCTTCGCTGGCAAACTCCAGCTGGCGCTTCCCGGTGGCAATTTCTTCGCGCTTTCGCGCCTCTTCCGGATCTTCCGCCTCCGTTCCCGTGCGCGTCGCTTCCTCCGGCAAGGCCTCCCACTCAGATCCGATTTCTTCTTCCTCCTCTTCTTCTTCACTCAGCTCCGCCTCGCTATATTTGCTATAGCTTCCCTCCTCCGATGTTTCCTCGTCTTCGTCCTCTTCTTCATCGCCGTCGATCATCACTTCCTCTGCCCTCGGATAGAAGGCGTGAGGGATGATATCGTACGGCTTCAGATACTCCTGCCGCGACGACAACGTATGTATGTCCCTGGGCTCCTCCAAGCACGCAGTCCACTGAAGATATGGATCCAATGATCGCTCGAGAACGTGCGGAGCAGGATTGTCGTCACTCTGTGAATAGATGTCGGGCGAGAGATCGYCYRCCAATTGCACGATCRGCGCGATGTSATCCTGTGCAATCAGCTGGCGGCGCCCCGGCTGTACCGATCCAAAGAGAAAGCCAAGAAGATCACCCTCCACATTAGTCCTCCAAGCTTGGATGATCAGCAGCTCCGGATTTTCGATCCACGCAGGATGCTCGCTGRTCTGCGTCCACGTCACCTRTACTCTGGCCAAGCAAAAAGACAGCTCCTCAAAAGTTTCGCGCCACARCCGCCAATGCCCATGATTGATAAGAGGGACTGAAAGAGGCTCGAATGAGAAGGAAAGACAAGGATGAAGATCGGATTGCCAGAAGGTGGGGAAGAGAGAGGGGAGACCAAAGAGAGAGAGAGGAGCGAGAGGATTGGCGTGGTTCATTGGGGATGTGGGAAGGGGACGAGGGTGGGAATCACAATTGGCCGCTCGCGCTGAGAACGACGGATGTCGCCAAGATCCGGCGCAAAGGTCGGGATGAGATTGTGCCCAGGTCGGGCAAGAACGTGCTGCCACATGTTGGAAACCTGCTCCGTCCACTCGCGCTGTGAAGTCAAGATCGCAGTATGCCTTTGCGGATTGACCGAACTGATGTTGTCGCTGAATGCCACGACCGTGGTGATGTAGCTCGTTCCGGGAGCCGCTCGCCGATGAACTGCGATTACTTCCGCAAATACTATTGCATGAGGACTCCCCTCGATCCGAAACGCGGCGGTGGCACAGATACCCACGTCGCCGAAAAATTGTGCCAATCGCCGAAGATCTGTATTGAGCCGAGGATGACAAAMTTGCCGAATYTCTAAGATGTGGCCACRTGGCTGCAACAGYTGTAYGTCAAGAWCCTGCTCTRTGATGAAACTCATGGCGAGGTCGRAGAGGAGGAYGAAGGACAGAGACAGGAAGAGGAGAGAGAGTTAGATCGTCGTCGTTCTCCTCACTTTCCGAGGAAGAAGAGGGAGGGAGATCAGCAGGAGGAAGAAGACGGAGGTAGGAGGWATGCCAGACGATGCGGACAGAGCTATGGCTGGCACTAGCCTCAGGCGCGATGCGCACCGTGTTGGCGCCRTTGGGTCCGAGCTCGAGAACGCRATAACAGCCAGAAAACTTGGGAGCGAGTTTCCGGTCGTGTGCAGATTTACGTACCTGCATTCCCCTWATTTATATTGATGCTGGGGCCCAGCATTCCCTTWGCGAGCCTYGTAGCKACTGACCTGTCTACCGTGGGCCAGTTCGGTCATCCTTTGCCTTTTTCGGGCCAGCTTCTGGACGAATCGTTCCATTAATTCGGTGTACCTTTTGGCCTTGGCCTTGAGCGCTGCACACGTGTCTTTACCCCTTGCTTCGGCAACTTCCGAGGTACCCCGGTAGTCAACACAGGGGAGGCTATTAGTTCGAAGCTGAAAAGGGGTAAACCCCGTGGACTCGTGAGGGGTGGCCCGGTGGATCCCGACGATCTTATATACGATCTCGGGCCAAGGACGTGTGTCGTGTGCCGCTAAGTTCCTGCGAAGGGCGGTTTTAATCATACGGTTGGCATTTTCGGCCAACCCGTTTGACTGGGACACGTGGGGTGCCGTATGTCGGAGCGTGATGCCCCTTCGCGCAAGCAATTCTTCTACCTCACCCTTGAATTCAGACCCATTGTCGGTCAAAATTTCTTCCGTATCTAGATGGGTATAAAGGAACCGTTCGATGTACGTGGCTATTTCTGCGGCTTTTCGGGTCTTATAGGGATAGACTTCGATGTACTTGGAAAAATTGTCTATTAATACTAATAGGATAGAATATTCACAGCGGTTTGGGCCAGGTGGAACGTCGATATTTGTCGTGTCCATACTGACTCGTTGGAAAGGACGCTCTACTTCCGTTGGTACGATCGTGTTTGGTCCCCGTACAGGGGCACGATCAGTGGCACAGACCAGACAGTTAGYGACAATGTATTTGACATCATCTCGTATATTGGACCAGAACCATCAGTTCTGATCTACAGTTGCGTCCGTGACACATATCGCGAAATGAGCGGCCTGTTCTTCGTGACCAAATCGGATCCAATCATATCTCTGGAATGGATGGGGAACCGTCAACCACGAGTCCGATCCGTCACTTTTACGCTTTTCCAAATGACCGTTGACCCATCGATAGTCCCGAGATCTCTCGGTCGCCCTACGTCTGTCTTGTTTGGTGAGGTGGCCCAAAGATAATCTCGCTAATTTCGCCAATAAAATTTTATTCGTCCAAACCTCCGCTCGTCGGTATTTTTCGTCGTATTCAGGGCCGTCCGTATGGGCGGCCTCGAATCGAACCTCCGTGGGGAGTTTGTTCGTTCTACACAGGGGGCACCTCCATTTCTTGCTACTGTACGATATCGAACGCAGGCCGCGTGCGCACGATTGACACACGTGGCACATTCTACCCAGCCGACAAACCCGGTTTCGAAAGGATGACAGTCGACCCCATACACTCGTACAATGCACGTGCAAAAATAACATAATTTTTCGAGGAGGGTGGCAAAGAAAGCTGAGGACGTGAGAGGGGCAGAATTAGTAGGAGATGAAGGGGTTGAGGAGGCTGAGTAGAATGTGCCACGTAAGTGGCGCTCATGATGACAGAGAAGGAGAGATAGGACTGAATCGTGTAAAGAATTTGTCCTCGTGCCACTTACGACTTCGCCAGGATCTCCACTTGGCCGTACCGAGGTCCGATCTCCTGTTCAAGTTCGTTCCACGGAATCACCTCCGCACTCTTCGGAACTTTCTCAGGCCGGTGCAGTCGTGTGAGTCCGTCTGCATTCTCGTGTCTCTCGTGCTTCCGATCACGGATGTCAAAGTCCATGCTCTACAGCACCGTTGCCCTTCGCCCGATCATGCCCGAGTAATCCTTCGATTTCTTTAGAGCCAACAGGGGCTCATGATCAGTTACTRAGCTGAASTTTCGCCCGTATAGGTAAGCGCGAAAGTGGCTGMTTCCCYAGAGAGCCGCGTAGCATTCCCYCGTTGGAGCGGYGTASTTGCGCTTGCAAGCTGGCACCGATTTGGAYGCATACTCCRCCACACTSTCGAGTCCGCTTGGTCCCACCTGGGCAAGGATCGCCGAAATTGCCTCTRGCTGCCACTCAGTGATGAGAACAAAAGGCTTTTTGGGATCCRGTCTTATAATGACCGGAGCCGAAATGAGAGCGACCTTGAGTTTGGAAAACGCTTGATCGCATTCCGGCGTCCAGATCAACGGTTGATCTTTGCGCAGCAGATTCGTGAGGGGTCCCGCAATCGCCGCGAAGCCCTTGATAAATCTTCGGTAGTACGAGGCCAGGGCCAGAAAGACGCGAACTTGCGTGATAGTTGTAGGCACCGGCGCATCCCTGACAGCTGTCACCTTCTGCGGTTCTGGCTGGAGTCCCTTGTCTGTCACCACATGCCCTAGGAAGGAAATGGTGGTGAGGAAAAACTGACACTTCTCAAGCGCTACCTTGAAACCTGCATCTTGTAACACGTGCAGTGCCCATTCGATGTGTTGCACGTGTCCCTCATAGGAACTTGAATACACCAAGATATCGTCCATGTACACAATCACGCAGTAGTTGATGATGCTCTGCACCAAACGAGTCTTTCTCACGAAATTCTGAAAAGCTTTGTTCATGGCCCGCTGAAAGGTCGAGGGGGCGTTGCAGATACCCATCGGACATCGAATCCACTGCGACGTACCCTCGAAAAGTACAAACGCTGTTTTCAGACGATCTTTTTCTCGAACAAGAAGATGATGGAACCTATGGTGAACATCAAACTTGCTGAAAAATCGAGCACTCCCAATCGGATCCAACAACTCATCAATCCGGGGGAGGGGGTACACATCTTTGATCATGATATCATTCAACTTTCGATAATCAATGCAAATGCGAATCCCTCCGGCCTTTTTAGGCACGATTACTACGGGAAAATACCAGGGACCTATGGCGGGTTCGATCCATCCATTAGCTTCGAATTTTTTTATCCGCTGAAAAGCGGCCACTCGTTGAGCTGGCGAGTATCAGTAAGGAACGCAGCTAATGGGTGGATGGTCTCCCGTGAGAATGACATGCTCGATCTCATTAGTTAAGCCGATGTCATTATCGTGTATGCTCAATACTTCCGCGTAACCATTTAATACACAGATTAACGACTTCCGAAGTTCCGCGGGAACGTGACTCGGTAGGGTGATTGTTGATTCCCCGGAAATCTCAAGGGGCATATCGACCCAATCAACCGGCCGTTCCCGTCGATTGTAGACACTAGAGAAAACGGAACTACTGGTGCGAACAGAGAAGATAGTTGCTATCATCTGGGACTCAGCGGAGCTGATCATCTCCGTTTCTTTAGTTTCAGCATCAGTCTCCGAACCAACTGAGGTTGGTTCCACAGTTAGCCCCGTTAGATCCGTCATTTCCTGCA